ATGTTGTGGTGATTCTTTTGCTGACAATCATGAATTCTGTCTACTTGCAATTGATTTTTAGTCTTTACTTTTTGATTTCCTTCTTGTATTTTCCTTTCTATGTCTACTATTAATATTGTGTCCTCTGCATATCATATGTTATTAAAAATGTGGTTGCCAATAATGAATCCTGGTAGGACTTCTAATTCTCTCAGAATCACCTCACTGTATATGTTGAATAAGTCTGGTGAGGAAAGACATCCTTTTATATTTTTCTATATTTACTGAATATATTTTCTGTCCATTTGCAAGTGGTTTGCATCCATTATAGGTTCTGGATTATTCTAATATCCTTTCCAAATATGTCAATGTTACCTAGCAGTTCCAATAGTTTTTTGGGATGTACTAGTAATTTTTAAATTCATTTTTTAAATCAACATTATATCTTACTACTATAAACTATTAAAGCAAAGCTCATTTATCTACTTAAGGGATACAACTTTTACACCAAGTCGGCCTTACCATTAGGTTACAAGAAACTATTTGTATATTTGTATATTAATAAAAAAAATGTGATATTGGGATAATTGCCAATATCATTATTATCTCCTTTTTATATGTTAGGATTAATTTTCATTGAATGATGTTTTGAGATACATTTCATATTTGTCTATATTTCTGAGATGAAGTATTATGTACATTATTTACATTATTCGAACTATTGTCTTCATCTTTGTTGCCATATTTATTACAATGTTTCGGCCGTTATCAGTTATCTCCTGTTAAGGACACATGGCCCAGTGGATAAAGGCATTGGTTAGATCCAGTGACAGGACCCAAAGAGTGTGAGTTCAATACCTGGTTAAGGCAGTGGAGAACTTTCAGAGGGAAATTAACAGGAGATAACTGATAACTGACATTCATTAAACATGTCATGTGGAACTAGAACAGTCTACCCCGGTGAGCGAAATAAAGGGTTAAGTTCGACATTCCAACCACCTGAAGAAGGCCAGAGCGTATAACAGCTGAAACATTGTAATAAATATGGCAACAAAGATGAGGACAATAGTCCGAATAATGTAAATAATGTACATTTCATATTTCTATATTTTGTATAAACTGGATAAATAGCTGTGATAATCCATTTTAAAATTCTACCACTTCTTCCAAAAGGTCTGTTACTATGCCATCTTTGTTTGGAGAATTTCTGCATTTTCAGTTTTTAAGGGCAGACCTTATTTCATTTGTTGTTTCATGAACATCACTAATATCTGCTAGAATGATTATTGGTGGTACTTTTTATGTCTGATGTATACAGCATAATACTTCTCAAATATTCTTAACATTTTGTCTCCAGATTTGCTAACTTCCTCATTTCTGTTTTTCAATGCAAGCAATTAGTTTATTTATATGGTCTTCAGTTTGAGAATGTTTCTAGTTCTTTCTTTTCTAAGAGCATCTTCTGCTCATTCAAAGTTCATCTTCATTTTTTCTGTTTCAATTTTTAGTCGTTTAGTTTAATTCTGCATTTTCAATTTAATCTCAATTTCTATTCTTTTTCATTGTTCTATTGCTAAGATTGAATTATCTCCCTTTGCTGTTACTATTTCCATTTCTTTTTCTCTATTAATCTCTGCTGATTCCTTAATTATAGTTCATAATTTACAATTCATATTTTCTCTATTAATTTTGTCATTTAGGATCTGTTGTTGATTTTTACCTGAAATTCAGTGTTCTGTCTGATCTTAGGATACATTCCATTTCTTAGAATATTTTTGAGAATTTTCAGTTCCATTTTCACTCAGCGTGCCACCATTTTGTTATTAGTTCTTTCATAAATTTTATTTATGGTGGTTATATCTTTAATGGTACTGGTTTTCTCAGCAATTATGAAGTCATTTTTTTTTTCCCCCATTCATCGCTTTTGAAATGATATATTCCTCATTTTCATCACTTCTCTTCCATGTCCCAAACTGGCAACTTCCCCATTTCTGTCTTTAAATTCAAGAAATTTTTGTTTATTTATGTGGGCTGCAGATTGGGTATGTTTCCGGTTCTTTCTTTTCTGAAAACATCTTTTAACTTTATCTTCCATTTTTTTTGTTTTATTTTTTTGTTTGTTAGTTTAATTCTGCATTAAAACAGCCAATGGAAAAAATTCAAATGGATGACAGAACAGAACCTTGGAGAGAAAGCAAAAGATACAATTTACTAAGATCTTCAATGGGCAGGAAATTATGGTGAGCCATGATCGGCAATGTCCTGAAGGGACATGACATATAGAAATTTTAACTATCATTGTATTTACAATCATATTTTTATTGCTTTTTATTGCTTCAAATGTTGAGTTTGAGTCATCTCCCTTTGTTGTTATTTCCCTTTGGTCTTTCTTTTTAATCTCTGTTGCTTCCTTAATTTTAGTTCACAATTTACTATTCATATTTTCTTGTCATTCCAAAAAGGCCTAGAAATTGTTATTGATTTCTAACTGAAATTCAGCGTTTTTTTTCTGTCTGGTCTTTGGGTACATTCCCTTTTTGAGAATAATTTTTTCCTCACAATTTTCAAGTCCAATATGAGTCACCATGCTACCATTCATTACTCCTTTAATTAATTTTATTTATGATACTTATAATCTTTAATGGCACTGGTTTTTTTCTTTCTTCATTCTTTGTTTTTGGAATGACATATTCCTTATTGTCATTAATTCTCTTCCTTAGTTTAAATTATCCTACACAATTTTTTTCTCTTTATTTGTTCCTACTTTTGCATTGATGCTGCCTATCAAAAGAGTATCATTTATTTCCTTGTTATCTATAACATTACTGATATTGTTGCAAAACCCTTCAATTTCATCATCTGAATTTTCAAAAATGGCATATATATATATATATATATGCCATTTTTGAAAATTTTAGCATAATGAGAAGCCACATATACTTTTTTAATATGTATATATAGAAAGTTGCAAATTAAAAAAATAATAAGGTTTTTTATGAAAGTATTTATTTATATTTTTTATATATATTTTTTTATATTTCTTTATATATATATGTAGTTTGATATTTCAGATTGAACTCGATCTTAAAAAATATAAATAAATACTTTCATAAAAACATTATTATTATTTTTTAATTTGCAACTTTATATATATATATATATATATATATATATATATATATATATATAGAGAGAGAGAGAGAGAGAGAGAGTGCTATAGATATGCTCAGATGTGTGTGTAATGTTGTCATTATTGGCATGAAGATTGAAATAGACATGTCAAATTCAAATTCTATTCAAAGCCATTTAGTTCATTTTCTTACAAATACCCTTAGGAAAGATATGAATCCACTTTTTTCTCTTCCTAGCAGTAACTCTGTATTTAAAAGTGGTTGGATATGGAGGCTAAAACCTCTACCTCATATAATCCTACTTACTATGGAAACTACAGTATCAACAACTACTTTACACGGGATTCGACAGGGTTAAAATATACATTGCCATTATATATACACTAAAGAGAGCAGATTCTCTAGCCTTAGTTGTCAACCAGTCTAGGAGAAAGAAAACCCTAAATTTAAATCCTGTTTGGTCTGGGGCTGGCAACTATACACCATCAAAACCTACTTGCTGCTAAAACAACAGCAGCAACACTTCGCATTGTGCGTCTGTGACCCTATACTCCAGAGAGAAGTCTACAGGGTCTGCAACATGTAATTTGGTAAGGCTGTGGATCTATATCCCACGGAGGAATTTGTATGTTTAGCATACATATCAGTTGGGATGAGAATCCCACTGAATGTTAAATATATATAAATTTGGAAATCTGTTTTGATACGTTTTTCTGATAAATTCATGTCATTAGAAATGGGTGTCATCTTCTTTTGGTGACACTGATTTGTCAGTGAAATATGTCAGAATAAAAGTTTTTACAAATTGTGTTCTATAATTACCATACAAAAGAGGTGGTATCAACAAGCCCCCAGATTAGGCCTTAAAAACATTTTTACCTTATATAATATATTCTGTCATTAGCCTTCATATAAAGCATAATACACATCATTGAAGATCTTCTGACAGACTCCATTCATGTAAAAGAGCTGATGAATTCTTCAGCAATGATTCTCATGCATGTGTTCACAATTTTTTTCCCCTCGTGTCAAGCTGGTGATTTGTTTTCTGAACACTAATAATCTTGAACTGACAGAAACATTACAATACATCCTTACAAAACTGTGTATAATAAAAATTATGATCTGGCACCCCAGCAGCTCATCTTGCGGTTCTCGACAAAATCCAAAGATGGATATGCAATGTGATAGGTCCTGACCTGGCATCTCAACTCCAGTCACTTTCTCACAGATGTGATGTGGCTTCCCTCTGTCTTTTCTACAAATATTTTCATTGCAACTGCTCTGATAAACTATTTTCACTGGTGTCCCAACTGTATGAATTTAAGCATGCTACTAGGTTGGCATCTTGGTCCCACCCTATTACTATCAAAACAGTTAATGTAACTGCCTCTTCTACTCGAAAAGCTTCTTCTCCCACACTTCCTAATAGTGGAACTCCCTTCCTCTTACTTGCTCCCTGATAACTATAATCTTCAAAAATTTAAATTTAATGTCAATCAACATCATCTGATGCCTTGATCTTGATATTCATCCTTTTTTTTTTTATCCTTTCCTCATACTCCCCTCTTTTCCCTTACTCTCACTCTCTGTAACCCCTTGCATGCTAGTGGTTCTCCCATCTTGCTTGGAGGGAAATGCTTAAAAAAAATAGATAAACCAATTTGGCGCAGAAACACTGCCTGAATTTGTTAACCATCATAAAGATTGCAGAACCATTCCAGTACATCATTATAAAACTGTGCATATTAATAGTTCTGCACAAATCTTTAAGCCAATTTACAGATACTTTGCTTAATGTCATCATACAAACATAATAACATGTACACATGCATGCATACACATATATCTGTAATGTTGAATATGGAATTTGCAATTTAATATTCTTACCTGGACAATTGGTCAAGTAGCACTGGTATATTTGTGTTTCTTTTTTCTCATGATTCACCACACCTCCAACAATAAGATAACGTGTACGTTCCTCAGTACCAAATCCGCAAGTCTTTGAGCATCCTGATACACTGCCCCAGTTTCCCCAATGAGGTTCCATTACCGTAGTTGCAAGAACTGTAAAAAGACAAATTAATTTTTAAAAATAAATGTGGAAATAAGATAAAATAATATCAACACAACATAAATGAAGATCTTCATTCCTCCTCTGATTCCTTTTCTGATATTTATTTTTTATATGGGAGTAGGATGATAATTGCTAAGGTCAGTTTTGAGGTTAGTTTCCCTGCATATTCCTTTGGTAAGAAGAGCATTCCACACTAAAAGTTTCACAAGAACCACTGCTTTGTGTAACAAACTCCCACGTAGATGCTTCTCTGAAAACTACAATTTTAACCTCTTCAAGTTTAAGGTCAAAGGTTTTCTATTTGTCATATCCTTGGAGTCTTCACTTCTTACTTCCACTTCGTACATTCATATCACACACATTATTGAATTGCTCTTGGACTTTGTAAGGTATGGGTTAGGGTTAAAAAAATGCTCTTGTTATATAATATTTCACAAGCACTACCTGTGAAAAGTTTTCAATTCTCCCATTTTGAATTTTCTGATGAGTCATAATTCATAATTGAACAATTTAATACATTTCTTGTAAGCTTTCTAATCAACTCTTTACTATGGTACATAGACTTTTTTTAAAAAATTTAAGCACCATACTAGAATAGCATTGAGATCTCATCAATTTATAGCTGAGCTGGCTTAGATGTAACCATAAATTATATGCTAACAGTTTCTTTTCTCACACTTTTCATTTGTGGAACTCTTTCCCAGCTCCATGCTTTTCAGCCAATATTTATCTCCAAAAGTTTAAATAAAATATATCTATCACTGTCTACTGATAAGTCTTCTTTTGTTCTCACATTAGTAATGTTGCTGATCCTAATTTTTCCACACCTCTTGTGTCTTAGTTGTTTTACTGCTTTGCTTAGAGTGATCTTGATTAAAAAACAACAAAAAAGAAACAAACCCCTAAAACACATCATTAAATATTTAGCAGTTTTCACAAAATATTGCAATAACAATAATAATTATGAATGTAGATCATTATTAAAACAAAGAGACACAGGCACAAAAGATACAAACTTTACAAAGTTCGATAGTATAGTTTCATAAAATCTTTATTCCAAACTTTTGAATTTTATGAAATATATATTTATATATTTAGTGTGTAGGGGCAGCAGATCATTATTCAAACATATATTGTTAAATATAACAGACAACAAATGTCTATTATGTTTTATTATGAACCATTCCAAGCATCGTATAATGTCTTTAATTTCAAGAGAAAATATATAGACATTACAACAGAGATTTTGATCATCAAATATGACATATAACCACTCTGATGATGGATCATGTGAGCCAAAAGCTTAGATCAATGACCAATATAATAAAGAAATATCCAAATGTTGGACAGTCTTTGTTTTTATTTTCTCTTGAAACTAAACCCATTATACAACGCTTGGTAAAGCTCATGATAAAACATAATAGATATTCATTGTCTGCTATATTTAACAATATATTTTATATATATATATATATATATATATATATATATATATAAGTTATAGAATACATATGCATATTTATACCACACTAAGATCATTAATTTAACAATTCTTGGCATATAATATTTTTACAATGGTAATGTTAAGATTAATCGTTGACATACAGGATATATTAGGCATTCTTTGACTAAACAGTTACTGTTACTCACGATTGAAATTTATAAATTTCCACTGAACAACTTTTCAGGAAAACAGACTTCTCATACTCATTGGTATCACCCTTTCTAATATTAATGAGAGTTTCCTTTCTAACTCTTTGCTTAAGGTATTGTGGAAAGTTAACATTTTGATTATATCATTATTTTTTTTGCTAAACATTTTCATTTTTTGGTGCTGTTGGAAGTCTTCAAGCAGAGCTTCATCCTCTTACACACAGAATCAGTACATTGGGGCACTCCAACATAGTGTAATGGTTAGAAAGTTTGCCTCGCTAGATCAATTATGACTGGATAATGAGTTTGATTCTCACTTGCTGTCCCACTTTCACCCTCATGCCACATCTATGCTATGCTTAGTAAATCATTTAGGGTGCTAATGTGGTGTAATTGCTAGCAAGCTTGTCTCACTATATCAGTTAATACTGGATAGTGAGTTCAATCCTCACTGGCTGTCTCATATTTTCAGGTTTGTGTCACAACTAAGCTACACTTAAAAAATCACCATAATTGGTAGTCTGAAGGAAAAACTGGAGTGCAGTTTAGATTTTGTAAAGTCGTTTGGAATGTTATATGCAATGATCAAGGCTCATTTCTTCACATCTGAGCTTGGTACACATGCAGATTATAGTCTATGAAGAGATTAAATATTTTAAGGCATTCATTTCTGCCTGTGATGCCTGATGTGGTTTGAAATGATTCAGTGGTTGTAACCTCATTACACATACAAGACATTGTGGATTGATACAGTTCTTCTACCAAATCAAGGCATCAATGGAGTCAAAGTTTGAATGATGGATTTTAATGGAGGAGAAAATGAAGTCTCTGTTGATATATTTAACATTAAAAAGAGACAGTTGAATATTTTGAGGAAAGAGTGCTTGTTAAATTTGATACTCAGTGGACAGATTGAAAGCAAAAGGGATAGACAAAAATAAGCTGAGTAAACGGATGGCAGAACAGGGCCTAGAAGAGGTAACAAAAAGACAAACTTTATTAAGAGCTACAAAGGACAGGAAACTGTGGTGAGCCATGATTGCCAATGTCCTGAAGGGACCCAGCATATAGAAGAAGATTGATATGCTTATACACGCCTGTGAGATCAATAACGGCATACAAATTTCTGTTCAATATGTATTCTATTTGATGGCGTTGTGTGATCACATTATAACATCAATCAGCTATGTGACAAATTTTATATTTGCATTAATCTATATATATATATATATATATATATATATATATATATATATCCTCTCTCTCTCTCTATATATATATATATATATATATAGAGAGAGAGAGAGAGATAGGATTATATATATATATATATATATATATATATATATATATATATATAGTTCTTAAAATATTTGTTAATATTTTCAACATAATGAACCTAACTGAGTTTCTTCCTTGTTTCTTGGTATCCATTAATTTAACTCTGACTTCAGGTATTCTGCAAGCCCCTGATAATGCAAAATAGTGTTGTCCATGACTCATCAAAAGCATTCTGAGTTGTCAATTAATCCCAGGTGTATAAAACATTTATTGTTATTTATTTCTATAGCAGTTTAAATTTCTTCATTAAATGATTTTGGAAATAATTATTCTTATATCCTTTCTTTTTTAAATAATTTCACCCTCAAAAATGGGGATAATGATATTAAGATGCCATGGGTTACTGAAAGTGAAAGAAAATGAGAAGACATTAGTGAGAAAAATGGACAATAAAAAGAACAGCTTTCAAGAAGAAGACATACGATGACGATTGGTTTTGCATTTCAATTATTGAAGATCATAGGTAACAGGGAAACAAGAAACCAGAAGAGAGTTTTTCATAGGTCATAGGCGTGAAGCTAATTAGGATAGTACTTATGGTTACACCTATAGCTATTTTAATAGTAAAATGATGAGATCTCATTGCCAATCTTGTAGTACACTTAAATTTATGCTGTTGGGATAAAATGGAGGAAACATAAATCGGACAATTGCAATGAAAATATTTATAGAAAAGATGGAGGAAAGCAATGGTGGTGGGAAAGTGAGTGAAGTTGAAATGCCAGGTCAGGACCATTAATGTTACAGACACTTTGGATTTTATGAAGAATCTCGGGATATATAGACACAAGATTGTTTTTGATTGTCTCTTTGCTGCCTGTCTATCACCTAAAATATACTTTATTAATGTGGGAGGAATCTTAATAATATTAATGAAGATATATTAGATACATAGCAAGAAGAATTATAAAAAATGAAATATATTTCCGTTTTAACGTTACAAACAATTTCTTTTTTTCTCTCCTCCATTTCTATTAACCTTCTTTCTTACTTCCTTTTCTTTCTCTCTTTTTCTCACTTTCTTTTTCTTACTAAAATCAGACTACATATCTTTTTCTTCTGTCTTTCCTTGCAGCCAAAAAGGAATGGTCCATTATTTAGTCTCCACAGAACTGTTGGAACTGCTTGGTAATCTTAACATATTTGGGAAGGATATTAAAATAAGCCTGAAGCTATACTTGGAGCAAGTTACCTGCATATGGATAAGAAATTAATTCAGTAAATATAAAAACAATAGAAAGGGGTGTAAGACTAGGATGTGTCTTCTCAGTGGATTTATTAAATCTATACAGTGAGGCCATTTGAGAGAATTAAAAGTCCTACCAGGATTCATTACTGGTGGCCATATTCTTGACAACATAAGATATGCAGATGACACAGTGTTGATAGCAGACACAGAAAGGAAACTACAACAAATCCCAGAGAAGGTATTGAAGGAAATCAATAAATAAACATTAATTGCAAGAAGACATGGTGGTTGTTGGAAAAAGGAACAGCACTAAATGCCAGTTACAAATTGGAAATGCCAAAATAAAAAAAAGTACAACTATTTAAATCTTGGAAGTATTTTAATGGAGGATGGAAAGTGCCACACTGAAATCCGAAGGTGCATTGGGATAGCGAATGTGTCTTCCAAAAGCTAAGCAAAGTATTAAGAAACAGGAACATTTTATTAGAAACAATGAAAAGTGTACTGTACTGTTATGTAATATCAGTCCTACATGGTAGTGAGTGTTGGACAATCTCCTCACAGATGGAGAAGAGACTTGAAGCAACAAAAATGTTGAAACTTCAGACACATACTGAGAATCCTCTAGGATTAGGGGCCCCAAAGGTTAAGCTTCATTAATTTCATTGTACATCTGTCACTGGTCAGATTTCTACTCTCACATGTGATCCTCTTTAATGTCTGGCTTTTCCTAAAGGTAAACTAGCTATTGAAGGTAAACTAGCTATATTAGAAGAAATTAAGAACAAAA